GAAAACGCATGCTAATGTCTGACGTATAAAATCAGTTTTATGATGAAGGTTAACACGGAACTGATTTTAACAGATTTCCGCAAAAGCTAGAACAATACGTACTGTGTGTAAAAGTCGTGAAATTGGAAAATAACCTTTATAACTTCACAAATCCGTTTCCACTGCTCTTGAGTAGGATCCATACCCGTTGGATTGTGCGCGCATCCATGCAAGATAACCACAGCTCTAAAAAGAGAAAAGTAACGAAGAAATATCCCTTCATCATGCGTCAACTTTCTTGAGTCCTCATACGCTATACGTTTCATTTAACATATTAGAAAGAGATCTACAAAGAAATCATTGGTCAAGCAGCACACCTAAGCAGGTCTTATGTTTGGACATTCACAACAGCTGATTAAATAATCAATTTTGTCAATTTGTGACTAGAAGATGCCACAAAAGGTTAAGTACGTTTCAAGGAGAACAAGCTGCGCCAGGTATTTCAAGTGCATTTTGCTTCGCTACAAGTCTCTATCGCTATCTCACTTCTTCATTCACCAGCTCATCATCGACATACTTGACCTTAACAAATAACTATTGACACAAATTGCAGATTTGCTGCTTACTGATGATTACCGCAGTACATGAACTGTATCATCACACCCTCCTCAGTTCAACGTAATAGTGAGCTAGAAACTTTGACTGTAGATGCGGTACATCATTTTTACTACTCACTTTTCAGGAGCTTTTTCAAGGTCTGCAATCACGCTGTCTATGTCCACTCTTCTGTTGACCTTGTCCCAGTAGGTATAATTATGAAAAGATTCGAATCCAGCATTTTTGAACACCAGTTTGTGATTACCCCTAAAAGAGTCGTGCGAAGACAGGTTTCAAAAAAATTCAAAATTCAAAAAAATTTACACATTGAAATCACAAATTCTAATTAGATCGGAAGAAGATATTGTTATTTGTTACTACATTCGTAGATATTAGAGCTGATAAAGCATGAAAAGCTTGGCGTTGATCAATACCTAAGGGATGCTTTATGTAGTCGAATATCGAGCACCATCGTAGATAATTGAATATATGTGTGGCCTAAGAGTAATTTGTGGTAGGTTACCGACGTTTGAAGTCAGAGCTATTATCCTTGCAGACCAGTCTGGTATTATCTATCGATTACAGAAGGATGGAAGACCTATTGAGCCAGGAGCGATGAACGCACCAACAACCATGTGACTACTGCAAGGCACTTCTATCTACTGCGATGCACGCACCCTATAGTTCGTTTGGAGGTCAGATATCATTAACCTTCACGACATGATACCTCTCGGAGATTTATTACACATAATGTAAATCACCGTAAAAAAAAACCTCTACCGTCCAAAGGGTTTTGGTTGCAAAGTGCGATGTACAGTAGTTAGTTCATTCCGTACGCAACTGCAAGATAAGTCGACGCTTTGATCTAGAAACGCAGACTATGGTCAGGAGTTAGAGACGACTCAACCAAAAGCTAATCAAAGAAGCGAAAGTCTTTACTAATATCCAAGAACAGGTGATTGTTTGTGTTGACAATCTAATAAATGGTGTTATCTCACAAAGTCATAGTCAATGAACTTGCCCAATCACACACGCGTCTAGATGTGCGCAGGAAGATGAAAACTCACAATCAACTGAACAAGTGTTCACGTAAAATTAATTAATATGTGGTCCTCATCAGCTCCACTTGTAACACAAATTTTACACATTGAAATCACTCGAAATCACGTCCCACTCGAATCATATAGTAGCGGTTAGAGATGTTTTGCAATACACCCAGGATTGACCATTGATTCGGTATCGCTCCTCGAGCTCACAAAGCCTCCAGAGTAAGTAATCACTTACCAGATATCTATTGCAAAAAATCTGTGACATCCCTCAGGGAATGATCAACAGTAAACGGCTTTATCCATAATGAATGACTTTCATTTTTTCAACCCACTTTTGTCTGCGATTGAAAACAGCTTTCTCACTGGGCAAATTTAAGCTCTTTATAAAGAAACTAAAACTAGTTCTCCTCCCAGTAATTTTTAAACTCTTCCCTCTGTTCCACGTTAGTGATATCTAAACACTGTAAGTGGTAACAATTTATATCCTGCACTCGATCATGCTGATCACATTAGATAAGTGTCATGATATCCTACCACGTCGGATTACTCAAGTAAACCGTCTTCAGACCAAGAACAGAAGCAAGGAATTCAGCTCCCGCTCGGAGTGAACCCGTACCGGATAGACACTGTACGCCAGTATACTAGAAAGTGAACAATCAAGATATCATTATTATCATCTTGTGGAAGTGCACTTGCTCTCACCCTTCCTTCCTTGATTGCTGGACTATTTTCTCCAAGTACCAGGGTGCAAGCAGCCTTTGTAAATGGTTCAAATCCAAGAACAGGCAGGTATTCATGGTTCAGAGTTTCATCAGCAGCTAGCATCTTTTCAGCTTCTCGTACTATTGGCAGAACCCATGGCTTGCCTTCTTCCGTTCGATACGCTAAACAACGTTCAATCTCGACTACATTTATGTTCGATTGATGTCAGATTATCCACATTTAGTGCTCTCAAAATATTAAGATTCGAAGGTCATTCGTGGGAAATGATCCCCATAATGCGTTGTCGGGTTCGGCACAGAAAACTATATGTCACTTAAACCCAACCATTATTTCCTATGTAATAAACAGATCCATTCTCATCTGTTGCAATGAAGTTGTTTTTTCTATCGCGTTGAAGTAGTAAATTCGAGTCCAATCGGTACGAAAAACAAGCTCAACATTAACCTATTTCGCTAATTTGATTGGGGTACAAAAACTGGTTTGAGAATCATTGGTACTTCTAGGCTATCCCCACCCTATTTGAACTCTTTCAAAAAAAAAAAACGCGTTCTCTTTCTTTTTTTTTTCAAGTCCTAGAAGTCGTTCGATAGCTTAAATATCGAAAATTTCAACAGTAAACACTATTTTCAAAATGGACTTCTTACTGCGTTGTGACAGCAAAATTGAAATTATGTTTGACATTCAGAAACTTGTCAATGGATAGTGCTCTTCCCTAAGACTTTTAGTAATTACTCAATAGCTTAAGTTTCGAAGATTTCAATGATGTACTTGGTTTTAGAAAATGACTCCACAGTGCACTGCAGCCAAACGAGGAATTGCTTTCGCAATCGGCGCGCAATATCGTGCAGCGCGATTCACATGTGGCGTGCAAATTTTATTATTAAAAATGAGGGTGAAACACATGACTCTGAAACTCTAGGAATCTTCTACAAATTCATATGCTTTTCGTGTACAGCCTAGGATTAGGATAAGGCTTATTAGCGGGTTATCTAGCAATTTCAAATGAAATTGAAAAGCTTAATCTCACGTAACGATGGAACAAAGTTTCTGCATAATTAGCTTCAAAATCACTTAACTTTACGCTATCGGATAACCGTTATGTTGGAAAAGCATGGTCGCTTGGTCCCAGTGTTGCGAAATCCCATCCACACAAAGGAGTAAAGATTGCGCATCGAGTGCGAACCCATTCAATTTTCTTTTAGCTTCTGCAGCGCACTATGAAATTCTTCTTGAAAATCAAACGCACCAATGAAATAGTCGAGGTTTGGGCTACCGAATAAATATTGAAAGTCTAGGGTAAAAGCTATGTTGAACGAGACATGCCCGAGAGTGGAATACAATTTTGTTCTTACTGCTACTGCTATTCTTACTGCAGACTTTTTTATCGAGTTACCCATAGAGCATCTCGAGATCTAAGCTATCGAATGACTAACGAAACTCTAGAAAAGCGGAAAACGCTTTCCTTCCAAAAAAAAGAAAAAAACTGAAGTAGGGTAAAGATAACAGAAAAGCACCGAGATTTTATCTCGTTTTATCCTTCGTGTCAAGATTTGAGTCACAAAAGAGGTAAATATTGCTGAAACTTATGGATGCTCCTTCAGATTTCTGAGCAAATGAACCTGGATGAGTCAGCGCTCAGATGGTAGGTAGACCTTCATTACATATTTTGAGATTGTTATTGTTATTCGTACGTGATTGTCTCCATTCGTCAGATCGCTGACACTTGTACTTTTCTCTCCTCACGTGGCCACAAGTTTACACCAATGGCATAAGTCGGCATTGTAAATCATATGGGGACGATTGTTTCCTGTGTTATAGTTACAAGATCTTTTCTCTTCCCACTTGTAAGCTCAGCAACTGAGGGTGAGATGCCACGCAAGAGGCATTTAGTATTGAAAGTCAGAAATATCAATGCTAGAGCGGTCACAGGTCTTCACTTCGGGAATAACATAAGCCATGACAATTTAAACTGCTTTCATTACCTCCAACAGTTAGGTTCACTTTGTTTGGATCTTTTTCATCCATGAACATTTGGTTCATGAAAAAAACCTCAATCGGAGGTGCTACCTCCACGCTTTTGAAGTAGGACATCGCTGTTCGAGGTATACTCTGAAATGGTGACATCATATATTTCAATTTTACGTCTGGTTAGAAACGTCTTTTGTCTAATAAAACGGACTGAAAGCAAGGAAGAAAACATTACAGAAGTAGTGCTAAAAGCTTGCCAACAACGCTAAATCCTTGTCAAAGTTGAAATCTGGGATTCTTGAACGTATATTGTTTCTCTTGACCCTTTAACTGTGAAAGATGCATGAAAAAATTCAACAAAAACGGAAAGGAGTAATGTGTGAATGTTAGATGAGTAGAACAGATAAATGCAGCGATTTGTAAAACATAAAGAGTTCTGATTATTTGAATGTTGTACCAATCGAAAGTTGAAAGAAGAGTTTTGAACAAACGTCTGATGGATGACAAAGATTACGAAACCCGGAAAAAAAAACTGATCATCGCATTGCATAAACGAAATTAAAGAAATGTATGAAGACGATCGACATTTTCAATTCAGAATTCAATTCTGCTTTATATAACCGCTTTCAGCCGTAGTGTGATGTTATAATATACCCACTGATGCAGACTGATGTGCAAAACTTTTGCGTCAGGTGGGAATTGAACCCATACTTCACCCTATGCGGAGGCGCGTGCTCGAACCAATGCACTACCGACGCCTGTTTTGATACCATCTTTCTACGCTACAAAGCTTCAAATATATCGATTCATTACGAATGCTTCATGTATTCGTTTCATCAACATATTCGCGACGACGCCTAAATTTCTCGTGACGTGAACATGGGGATAACTCTAATCTCTGCCTTTTAGGCTATGACCTCTATGGCACTCAAATCGGCCAACGCGTCGTTCATTTCGGATTCGCCCGATTTTTTTTGTATCAGGTTGGTGCATTTTGTATCAGGTTGGTGCAAAAATAATGGCGGTTTTGCATCACTGAGTTTTGTCGTCTGATATTGGAATAGATCTTCGAATAAATGTGGTTATGTTTGTAAATCATTTTGAGCGCTTTTGTCGCCAAATATTTTGTTACCAATGACGTATTACTTGTTGTTTATTTAAAACTTATTTCATATTACGGAAATGATTCTAGATAAAATTGAATTCAAGCGATTTTCTAATTCAAAATGAGTCTCAAAGCAACAGAGGCAACTCGCAACATCAACAAAGCATTTGGCCCAGAAACTGCTAACCCACGTAGAGTGCAGCCGTTGATCAGAAAATTTCGTAGCGAAGACGAGAGTCTTGAAGATTAGGAACGGAAATGGCAGGCCATGGGAAGTCATCAGAAGTCATGGGAAAAGTAATCATCGAGGCTGCTCCTCTATAGACTACACGAGATATTGCAGAAGAACTGAACGTCGACCATTCTACTATTGTCTTCATTTAAAGTAAAATCCATAAACAATTGCGGTTTCAGCACCATCCGAAACGCAATTACTTCTGCACCTACCTGTGTGATATGGCATCATGCAATCACACTGCTGTTATCATATCAGAAAGAAAATGACATTTGTACAGGTCAAAGCGACAACTATGGAACATTATAAACGACCACCACAGAGACTATTTGATAGCGAATATGTCGTGAATCGCTGAGCCGAGTGAAGCGAATTGATTCATAGCATGATTTGCTATGAGATAGCGAAGTGAGTAGTCAGTGTTGCGATCCATCCACAAAAGTACACGCCATTTTGGCATTTTCGGAGAAATGCAAGGCTTGGTGAACTGTCCGCGTGGAATCAAATCGATTACCAATCGGTTATGTGACTCGTTTACCGATAGATAGAAGTATCCTAGCAATTTTTGCTGGGCGGTTGATTTTGATCGCTCTAACAATGGAGTTACTCATTATAACGTGCATAACATTTGTGAAATGTCATGGACTTGGCTTTTTCAAACTTTGCTTAGTCTCACGTATTCTTAAGTTTCAATGAAACAATCGAGAGTAAAGAATGATTTATGAATATTTCAGTTTTACAGGTACGCAAAGTACACCTTACAACCTGTCGTGGACACGTTGTCATGGCCCACCCTTATCACTTCCAACACAGCCCTAGCTTTCATATTGTGGGTGACACTGACAACTGGAAGACATTTCTGCTCATTATCAAACATAAAAATACTGCCTGATAATCATTTCTGAGCCATGCATGTGGGCTTTTGGAGGGCAACTTATAGAGCCCGATAAACATGTTTCAACCTTGACAGTCTCATCAGTCGTCCGGTACCCTTCGTCTTTTGCCAGTCTTGTCGGGGTGATTCAGTCCGCCATACTAAGAGAAAATGATTATCAGGCATATTGAAATCTAAGCGTGGTCTAAAGAAAACACTCGAAACGAAAGATATGATATATTCAACGTTACCAGCCAAAAGCAATCAATTGTACAACACTTTCCATTCAGTAAAAATTTCACTTGATGGATCGTGTAAAATGTTCGTCGTCGCCTACTCCCAGTATAGCAGAGAGAATTGACAAAATACGAAGGGTACCGCCGGCTAATGAGACTGTGAATGTCGAAACACGTGAATCGGGTTGTATAAGTTGCCCTATAACCGACCACATGCATGGCTCAAAAAAATGATTGCCAGGCATATTGAAACTTGAGGGTGGTATTAAGAAAACATTCGAAACGAAACATAAAAGTATTAAATATTATAAAAATACCGATTCATGTGATGTCCTGGAGCTTAATTAAGTAATGAACGGTGGCAGCTTGTAAGGTACCGCGTAGCTAGGAAGGTCTGTTTCGAATCAATACTGTATCAGAAACAAGCTATATGAGATCATCACCTCAATGACACGCTTTATCATAAAAAAGGGTCGGACCTTGATATTCCCATTCTATTCGAAAGGGGTCTCCTTCCACAGAAGATTATGCTATGACACTAATTGAGATCAAAAAGATTTTTCAGATGCGATATGTGACGTATAGGCTCCTTCGATTTCATAAATATTAACCATAGACTCTGCTATCCAGATTCGTGTTGACTGGGCATTTTGCCGGTATCTTTTTATATGACCGACGAACGAGAGCCGTTACGGAATGGAATATTCGGGGCATCAAGCGCTCTCCAAGAAGACCACCGACGCGTTGGTCCGATTTCTTCACGAAAGCTATGAAAAAAAAGATATGATGCTTAGCAAATCCCTAGAGCGAGGAGGAGCTACTGGGCTACTCTTGCACGCGATAGGGAAAAATGGAAGTGTTGCTGGTACCCGCTCGAATCAGTGGACGATCAACGGGACGACAGGTGATGCAAGTGATCATTTTATACGTTCCTCTGTCTTTTCTTCTTCGCAAATTGATAGTTAGACTTGAATTCTATTGTCGGCTAGTTCACTTCAATGAGGTAGGGGCTCGCTTGGTCCTACACTAACATATACGGCTTTCATCGTTTCTCTACAGTGACGATATTCCTCAGCCAGCCAGCAGCTTGCTAGGATCAGAGTGTGCAAATTCAGTTTTGAAGATATAACTACTCTGCTGTCAACCTATCTGCTCCTCTTTATGACTGGTAAATTTTAGCTATTCTTATTTCGATCCAGCCACTTCCCTTATAGTCAATGGTGTCGAATCCAAGCCGCATCCCTCCGTGATTAAGCTGAAGTAAACATCTTGTCCCTTATTTTTCTATTACGCTAGGCTGAAAAAGCAGGTTCGCTTTTGAATGAGAAACATGTGAGTAAGACAAACCGGAAGCGATTATTTCAATCATTATCACACCATTCTCAACTCTTGAAAAAAAAAAACGAAGACGAATTGCATTCGTTCACTGGGTTAGCAAGAAATTATCCGGATTTCTTCGTTTTTGCTGATTATTTTTGATGCATCTTTTCTGCTCTTACTATCGTTTAGGGCAGTTTCTTGCGGTTATTTTGATATATAACGCTTATACATTGTTTCGTTTTCAGATGGAACTGCCCCAAGAGTAAAATCGATTGTTGATGCTTACGGGTAGCGTTATGTGCCAAAGCAGCACCCAAACGATACATATGTGTTATACGTCGCAATAGCCGTAAGAAACTGCTCTAAATGATAGCAAAACCAAAAATTCAGATGGATCAAAATTTATGAGCAAAATGAAAGAGTCCGGATATTTTCCTGTCAAGCCAACAGTTTCTCTATGTGAATTGAAGAATTCAGAAAACCACATCGGAGTGCATTTGAGAGTAAAAGTGGTTGTTTTATAAAGTGGTCTATAAATCCAGAATTCCGAGCAATATGTAAATCCTTGGACCTCGAGAAGGAGGCGAACCCTCGTCTTAACTTTCCCGGGAGCTGTGATTCAATAATTCACATAGTTTCTAGGTGAAAAAGTCTTGTAACACCTAGTGCTACAAAGATTTTTTAATCATAGATCATTGCGAAAAAATTAGTTACTAAAAGATTTGAGTACTTATGTGTTAGACGGCGTCAATTTTTTAAGCCGATCTCATTCAATGAACAAGAACTTTTCACAGTAGTGTAAGTAATCATTCGAAAGCTTAAATCTCTAGCCAGAACTCTACGTTGTCGGTTTATCAAAACACCCTTTTATAATCATGTCGCATCCAGGATTAAAATTTTGTCTCTTACTCGCTTTTCGCCTCCCATTTTTCCCGCGAGTACAAATCGATGGAAGCATGAAAAGCATATAAGCATGTAGAGAATATTCCGCAGTATCAGAATCATGCGTTTTTATCTGAAGTTTTTGTCGATGCGGTGAAAAAATCCTCATTAAGATAACGATTGTTGCCGTCGCTTTAACGCATAGTGCGGTAGACGATGCTATCAAGCTATGCGGTAGATCAGGCGATTAACTTACTAACAAGTTGTCACTGTGGCTTCCCTTCACATTTTACTCAGCTATGAACCTTTTCGGCGACTTTATTTACCGGCTAACTCACGGAGCGGGGGGAGGGGATTGATCGCGTTCAAAATATTGTTATTTAATTGGGATTTCTTCACCGCATCGATAGAAACTTCAGATAAAAACGTCGATTCTGATACTACGCAAATTTCTCTACAAGCTGATATGCTTTTCGCACTTCCAGCGATTCATACGCATGGTAAAAATGAAGGCGAAAGGCGAGTGAGAAAGAAAATTTTATCCTGAATGCTACAGCGTTATAAAAGAGTGTTTTGGAAAAATCGCAACGTGGTGTTGTAGCCAGAGATTTAAGCTTTCAAATGATCACTATCACTTTTATAGAAAGTTCCTGTCCAGCGAATGAGATCGGCTCAAAAATTTTCGCGACGAGCGAGAACCACTTGAAAGAAATCCGAAAGATTCGTTCCCAAAGTGTTCCTGCATGGCCACTGTTACCTATAGCTTATGGCTATGCAAAGAAAAATACGTGAAATTACTGAGCACCACAGAAGAAGTGATAATAAAAGTCCCCGTTGAACAGTGGTTAACGGGAGACTCCGAAAAGAGTAGGACGCAAGTTCGGCCCTCCTCGAGTACAGAATTTTGCATGTCCTTCGATTTTCGCCTGTGTAGTTATAAAATCATAACACTGTTACTGAAGCGGTTTAAATAGAAAAGAATTCTTGTACTCCAAATATATATATATATATATATATATATATTCCAAAAGCGTCAGCTGAACTGGGTTTAATGCTAATATGCGTTAACCAAGAGCGTATGTGGCGCAGTGGTTAGAGGTGCTCTG